ACAGGACTACTTACAAGGGCTTGTTTCAATTTGTCAAATGCAACCTTGGCCTCCTCTGTGAACGTGAATCGTTTTCCTTTCTTGAGGGTTTCAAAGATGGGAGCCGCAATGGTGGCAAAGTCGGCAATGAACCTTCGATACCACCCTGCCGTACCCATGAAACTCCTCACCTGCTTTGCTGTTTTCGGGTATGTAAACTTCACTATTGTTTCCACCTTTGCTGGGTCAGTTTTAAGTTTGCCACCTCCAACAATGTAACCCAAGTATCTAAGCTCTTTGAAGCAGAACTTCGACTTGGTTACATTTATTGTGAGTCCTGCTTTAGCCAAACAACCTGCCACCTGCTCTAGCAATCCCAGGTGAGTGTCGAAGTCTGGCGAAACAACCAAAAGATCATCCAAGTAGACGAAAACTCTATCACGTAGTGCGCCAGGGATCACTTTATCCATTAAACGGCATAACCTTTGGGCTGCATTGCACAGACCAAAGGGCATGACGGTAAAATGGTAAAGCGGTCGTCCAGGCACTGTGAATGCAGTTTTCTCTCTACTTGAAGGATCCAGTGGAATTTGCCAGAACGCATCCTTCAGGTCGACACTAGAAATGAAATAGGTATCCCCCAGCCGACTGAGCAAACCTTCTATATGCGGTAATGGATAGGCGTCCTTGACCGTCAGTGCATTGAGTTTGCGAGCGTCCAGGCACAAACGGTTCTTTTCGCCCCTTCGGACTAGAGTAACCGGATGACTCCATGGACTCTCGCTCTCTTCAATCACACCTAGCTCTATCATCCTATCCAATTCCGCATACATAAGTTTCTGCACAGCCGGGGAAACGGGATAATGCCTATCTTTCACCGGGGTTGCATCGCGGGTGTCTATTGAATGGACCTCAGCTTTAGTCTTTCCCAAGCCATACTTGGTAAAGCAAGGAAATTTGTCCTTCACTATTTGCAAACGAACTCGTTGCTCCTCGGACAAAGAATGGCTGTTAACATCACTGATCTCAGGCTCACCACAGAGACTCACTTCCTGGAGTGACAAGCCGTCCACCTGAGCAAACATTTGGAAACGTTTCATGAAGTCTACCCCCAGAAACAACTCACGACTCAGAGAAGGAACAAGATACAGGACGATAGAATGCTCCTGCTTCCTAAATTTTACATTAGTCGTCACCCTGCCAACTATTTTATGTGGGCTTCCATCAGCTGTTTTAATAAAAGAATGGAAATGCTTAATTTCCAATCCCGCTCTCTCCACAAAGCTAAGGCAATTTTTCCCCAGACAGGAAACGGAGGCTCCGCTATCTAGCAATCCCTCTATCTCTTCACCATTGATATGCAGTTTGGTATATAAACGATTATCTTCCCCTTCAAATATGGTAGCCGAGGCTATTTCCTGACGAATGCGTCTTCTCTTCTTATATCGCTCTCTAGCCTTTTTAATTTTATTGGAAACTTGACCAAAAATTCTTTCTCTCGCCTCGCTATATTCTCTTATTCTGATATGAAGTGGTTTGAACTCCCTCAATCTCGTTTTTACTTCTGACTTTAAATTTTCTCTCTCTTCATTCTTTAAAATAGAAACTTTACTACTGGAACTACTACTACTCTGCTCTGGGCTTAAACTGGGGTTGACCTCACCTGCCCAGACTGCGGTGGGTTCCTGTGCCGGTTTCCCTGACATTTCGGACAATCGGGGACGGTAACACCTTCTTGGCCACACCTATAGCAGAAAATCTTTCGAGGCTCCCGGCACTCCATCCAGCTATGACCCATAACACCGCAGTTCCAACATTTATACTTGGATGTCATGGTCACGGCATCAACTTCAATTTCACCTCGGGGTTCCTCTTCCGTCTGCCAATCGAGCTCGTGCACTTTCTGTGGTGTGTTGTAGCGTTGCTGTCTTTGGGTCCATACAAGGTTTTCGGCTTTCTTCACCTGCCTATAAAAATCACCCAAGCTATTTATCTGAGCCGAGAAGATCATTTGGGCTAAAGACGGCTTAAGGTTGCCTCTCATTATTTCCACTATCTCGTGCTCCCTGTATGGTGACTTTTGCTGTGTCCGTAGCCGCAGCACATCATTATAAAATTCTTCAAAATTCTCGTGTGGTAGTTGACGCCGATTTAAAATCTGCATCTGAAGTTGAAACTCATTCTCAAATCTTTGATATTGCGCCAACAAAGCACTTTCTAACTCCTTCCATGTGCGAAACTGGACCAATTTCCGGTGGTTCCAATACCAATCGAGAGCTGGCTTTTCCAAAAGTTGGTGAAATTTGGTGATCAATACTTCATCTGGGCAATTGTAATCCTTTTTAAGTTCACCCACTCTGAAGATGAATTCTTGGACGCTCATGGTTTTGTCGGTACCATCAAAAGATACTCCCCATTTCGCCAAATTAAAACGCCCGGAGATTTCTGAGATCATACTGCTTGGATGTGGACTGGTATGTGTCTCGTGTGGCTCTGTTCGCATGCCTCTGCTGTAGTTATTAGGCAACCTCTCGGTCGGCGGTATTGTGTGAGTTTGGACTCCGGTGACTGGTGGTGGTACCGATAAGCTGGTTGGTGGTTGTGCTGGTGCACCACTTGATGTGAACCCTGGTGGCGGTTGGTTAAACGGACCAAGTGACAACGGTCTAGGATCGTGAAACGGTGGTGGAATTACTCGCTCCGGATATGGTAGTGTGTAACCCCTTGCTAAATTAGGTTGTTGAGACGTTAAGCCTGACGCCAATGCATGTGAGGACAGAATGACTGACTCCAAGGATGTCCGCGCTGGTGCATGTGGTGCCGCTGCTGGCATCGCCAAGCCGGCTTGAGAAAATAACTGATTATCCCCCAACAACGAACGCTTGGTCGCTTCCGCAATTCTGGGTATCAGCACTCTCAACCTTTCTTCTTCCTGTTGTCGGTATTGCAATTGGGACAGGGCGATGGCAGAATTAATAATTTCCCTGACTCCTGCGCTGACTGCTGGATCTGCTGGCGGAACAACTGGTCTATTCTGCAACCCGGTCAAAACACTATAGTTTGGTGAGGCCACGCTTCCATGTGACCAAAAAGACGTGTTAAACGAGTTAGCGGCCTCTTGCATGCTTAATGGAACTGGTGGCGGTGCCGATGAATTGGACATTGATGATGAAACACCTTGAACTGGGACGTCCCCATGTGCTAAATGTGCAATATGAGAAGCAATGGGACCACTATGCGCGGCAGTTGTAACCTGTTGTGCGTTAGACGGAGCGCTGCGAACCGCGGTAACAACACTGCTTACGGCTGTAGCTTCGGAAGTGGTTACTACCCCATTTTGCCCTAGAATCGGTCTACCTGCCAAACCTGCACTCGCAGCTCTAGTAAGAGGCATAGTGCTACTTGATCTAACAAAATTAGCAAACAAAAACTCCGAAAAAGCAAAAAAAATCAAAATGAAATATGCCAAAAGATTTTGCTCGAAAGTAAACCACACGGTTTCAATTAAAGAAAAAATAAAATAAAAACAATTGTGGTAAGTAAAATAAAAAAATAAATTCAATGTAATTCAGTTCTTTCACAATTAATTCACACTTTTCACTTTTACAGGTTATTCTGTACGGCATACAAATTCTATTATCCGGCAGAATAATTTTGATGAAACAAACTGGAAAAATTCAAATACTGTTAGGTGGTGGATTTCTGGTCAAAATAGTGGTAAGTCAAGGTCAAATAAACTGTTTCTGTATCAATTTTAATATGTTTCACTTTTTTGCAGGGATTTGGTGAGTTACACTGGCAAAACTGTGGAATTTAAAACTAAAAATGAACTGAGAAAAATGGAATATGGAATAGGCGGCTTGCACAGACATCCCTCAAGAAGTTCCATGACAATACGACCACTGGTCGGAAGCCAAAATTGTCGCAGGACCAATGGAAACTCTGGGTAAGTCTGTGATCAGCTACCAAATTCCGGGTACTGAAATTAAACATAGACGGACAGAAACTACAATCTAAAAAAAACAAATTCGTTTGAGACTAGCAATTCTCATTTGCATAGCAGCGCGTCACCTGCCTTCTTATAGGCTGCTTGGACGGGTCTCCACAAATGAGAACTGATAAACCAGACGAATTTCTTCAACGATATATCTTTAAGAAATCTGAAATTTAAACTTTACTAAAATATGAAAGTTTATTAAAATGCTAGTGCAATTAGAAGTATTAAACTAGAACGACTAAGCCACTAGAAAAAAATAATAAAAATCATATTTTTCCCAAATATAAATGATGTTTACCCGAGTCTTCGATGAAGCAACGCGTCAGGACTCTTAATTAAACCTAGACGGGACTCATTAAAGATTCATGGTAAACACATTTATACACTACGACTAAAAATTATTAAAAACTAACATGTCTCAGGCCCCACGTTCTGGGCGCCATTTTGTAACAACCGTGTTCTAGAAAAACGAAATGAAATCGCTGTGTTGACCATTAAGTGGCGTTGCCGGTATGCTGGCGTTTAGCGCGGCTATGGCTCGTCGGATTGGGGGTTGGTTCTTGCCACTTGCAGATCTTTTCGGTTGAACAAAACAAAAAAATCATACCGGACTTCAAACTAAATTAAAAAGGGGGTAAAAAGAAGCCTGAAACATGTCAACAAAAAAAGTAAAAAAAGAAAACGTTTGCCTAACTACAACCAAATCCCAAAATAATATTAGTTTTCCTCACAGAAACAGTGCTCCTGGCGGCTGACCAGCCAGGAGATAGCCCTCCCTCCGAGAACACCTCTCGCCATGACGTCTACTCATACTGGACGTCCCAGATCTGACCCTTGACTTACCATATTTTATCCCATCCCCACCACCTTTTTAATAGGGCTTTAAGCCGAAGACATTTTGATCTTTTCAGGTTTAATCCAGTACATATTTATTAAAACTATATTACATATTTGGCAAAAAAAAAAAACAATTCATTCCATCGTAATTTGAATCAAAATCTAACAATTTACAGCGAATTATAATATAAAAATTGCAGAAAAAAAACAAAGAATTGCCAATAAAAATCAATTTTCGAAAGTAATCTTTTCTTTTTGTACTTTTAGGGCTTAACGGCGGGCACCCAGAGCGTAGAACCTTGACGGCAGCTTGTGACTAAGGCTTTTTCCCAAAACGTAAGTATGTACGAATTAGTTCGTGTTTCAGCTTTTTAATTATATTCCTCGGTCAGAATGTAAATAATAATTTTCTTGCTTTCAATTCCAGATGAGGACGAACAAAGGAATGTAGGTCGATACCACATTAAATCGACGATCTAAACAATGCCTGGTAACCTAACCTTGAATTGAGCTCAGTTCAATGTCGCGTACCTGCATACCAACACAACGTAAGAAAAAAATTTAATATTAACTCGTTTGTTCACCCTTTTAATTTATTTATTCTTTCCAGGAAAAACCGCGGAATTTAATTATGTAGCTTAGTCGTCCGTCTGTCTGTCCGGAGTTAAATAAGTTGCAGTGTCAATTGGGAATGATACCAAGCCACGCTGGAGCAGCAATGGCGTAAACTCTGCGCCTCCCTCGGTGGATTGGATGGGCGATGGTGTGGCTTGTAGGCTCCAATTCTTCAGGAATTTCTAGGTTTAAGATTTATTTTCTTGGTTTAGATTTTTAGTTAATTGTTGTGGTTTTTCTTTTCAATTTTGTTAAATTGTTTCGAAATTTTGTTTTAAATTTAAGTAAGTTCAATTTGTCTTTTAATTTTCAATTTTTGTGAAAATTATTCGTTTTGTTTTAAGTTTTATTTCAACTTTTCGCCTTTTGTCGTTAACTTTTGCTTAATTATTTTAAGGCTTCCAATTTTGTAAAAAAAAAGTTTGTATTTCGTGTTGTTTGTATATATGTTTCAAACAAATAAAAACATTGAATTCACTTCTTAACAAGTGGTTCATCACCAAAAACTTTGTCGACTTTTTTCTTCGCTGGTTACAGGGAGCCACACATCCAATCTTCTTCGCAGGTAAATCAAAAAGGACAGATTTTTCTTACAATTTTTGCCAGGAAATTCTGGCTGCCATTTTCCTCGCTTAATTTTTCCATTTTCTTTTTATATTATTCCCTAATATTGACATTTAAGTAATTGGAATAATCAGCTGTTTCCTAGTAATTGTTCTTCTTCTTCTTCTAGCTATCAATTATTTTCAGGGTTACCCCTTTTAAAGGCGCACACCACACCTCACAATAATAATACTTAAATTAAAACATAAACGAGTATTAACTACTAAACAGCACAACTCATTTCTAAAACATTAAATTAATACTAGAGTTTCTTTTTTTTAAATTTTTGGTTTTTGGTTAGTTTTTTTGGACTTAATGTCAAATCAATTAATAATATTTTAATTTCCTTGTTAATTTATTTCAGATTGGTTAACGGTCGCCTCACACTCGTTGATAAAGCGCTACGGTGCCGGTTCCACTTAACCTGAGGTAACTATTTAAAAATTCTTTATCGTCGTTACCTGGTTGGCCAGATACTTAATTGGCTTGTGGGAACTAATGTCGGCGGAAATTATATGGCTCTTTTCTGGCACAACGGACACTGTCGCATCAATCTGCTGGCTTGCTGCAACTTAAATGTCGACACAAATTTTTCTATGGCATATGGCTGGTTTAAACAAGGCGACCTTCCGCGTAACCTGTTGGAAGGCCTCGTAATGGCTTGCAAGCTGATGGAATATCTATGATTTTTATCCATCCAACATAAAAAATAAATGCAAGGCACGCAGCCGTATAAACCCGTCAATAAAACTTAATTTTGTACCGTTGTTAAATGCCGACTTTTTTCAAATGGTCGATTTTGGCAAACGAAATAAAATGTTGTTTTTTCTATAGCGCACGAACAAAATCTGATTTTCTTTTGGTTATCTCTACGCTTTTATACGGGAAAAATGACGCCAAGACTAATTTCCCCTTCTCCTCGATTTTCCCACAATTTTCCAAATTTATTTACTTTTCTTCACTTCACTGTTCTACTAAACATAATCATACGCACAGAGTTGCATTTTTCCAACGCCGATTTAAAAGAATCGACTCAGCAAAAATCAACACAAACTTGGCACTACCTTTTTTTCATAAATCAGAAGACCTGCATATCCGGCTCATTTTCAGTTTGGCGTTCGATCATTGCCGGCTAAAACTAATGCCGGCTTGCTTATTTTATTGCGCCATGGCATTTACTTATTGTGAGCGCCACCGCAACAACTTTTTATTCAAAATAAGGCAATTGTTAACAAAGTGTTGCCACATCACTTTGTTTTGAAAATCACTTTTTTCGTCATACAAAAATTAATCTGATCTGATTAATCTTTATGTATTTGCAGCTTAAGTACATAACAAGCTTGAAGTCATGGCTAGGCATATTAATGTCAAATTACAATGGAAAAGGACGGCAGGATTTTAGTGCGGCTCTGTAATCCCTTTATGAAATGTCACAAAATATGCCTAGCCATGACTTCAAGCTTCTTAGACCCTTATGCTAGGAACACAATTGGAGCGAACGACGAATTTTTTCGCGGCGTATGTTCGTCGTGAAAAATAAAACACATATGTGTATATGGAAGTGCACACAATCATGGCACCGGCGAAAATTTCGTCGGTCGCCGCGAACTCAATTAGCTCTATTTCTATTTCATACGCCGGCGACCGGCGAACAAAACAGTACAAGGTGGCCATACTTGTACGAATTTTATGTGTTTTAGTAAATAAAGTTACTTTTTACTTTAAAATTTGTTATGGTCACTCTACTATCTGTTATTCGTATAAAAAAAAAACATAATTAATTTGTTTATTTATTTGAGTACTTGCGCCTGAGTGAAGATGGATATCAGTGAATTTATAATAGAGAAGATAGACATAAGTGAAATTATAATAGAGAACTTAAAGAATTATGTGTTCTTGTATAATTCATTGTAGTCAACAAATGAGCAAAAAGTAAACAACTTCATCAGCTGTTTTATAATTTCGTCGGTATTGTGTTCCATACGACGAATTTTCGCGGCTCATTTTGTCGCCGCGTAGGGCGAAATTCGTCGTTCGCTCCAATTGTGTTCCTAGCATTAAATGTTTTTTTTTCCAAAATGTTGACATTTTACACATATTTTTTCCTTAAAGTTTTCTGTCGAAATTCTATCTCGTGGAAAAAAGAGTACCTAGGATGAGGGAAAACAAAATCTACTTTTGTTTGAATGCATACACCATTCAACATTATATTTTTCATTCTTAATTTTCAGTCGTCGAAATTGTTTTAAAATTTCATTTAATTTTTCTATTTTGAATTTTTAGATGTCATAATTTATTTTTTCGATAAGTGATCTCTTTGTTAGGGATGGCATACATTTCACCGTAGTTTTGAAAGTGATTTGAATGGAACAAATAACAAAAATCTTTGTTCGCTCAGAAAATGTTGTCTGGGGAATCAAGTAGATATTTAATAATTAATGATCGAACAACGAATATAGAGCGAATCACGTGCCATGTGAACTTAGCATTATTACAATCCATACAGGTAGGCTTCTTTACATGCAAAATATTCAAACATAGCCCACCTTCTCTTCATTTAACCTTGTTTGCGCCCTTTGAAAACACCCCAATTTGAATATTTTCTGAATCATTTTTTATATTGATGGGAAATCTAGATATTCTTTTACCATGGGCCTATCTCATGGTAGATGAATACAGGCAGACGCATCGACACAGCTGAACTGTCAAACTAAGTTTGCAATTGCAATTTTTTTAATGAAAAAGTATTTAAATTTCTAAAAGTGTTGAAAACGCATATTATAATAAACACCGAGTGGCGTCGTATAAGAAAACATATAAAAATCTACTAATGTTTGAAAAAACATAGTAAAATGTTGGACGTATTAATGTTCCCAAGCGTTGATGCATCTACCTATATTCTTGTACCATGGGCCTATCTGTATGGATTGTAATGCCAGAATTACTATCAAAATAGATGCAACAAGTTGTTTATTATAAATAAACAAAACAAATTATTTGAATAAACAAAAAAATATGTATTCTATTTCTCTAAAGATTATTTTCGCTACAAAAAATGTAATTTTTGTTCATACATATGTTGTAATACGCATTTTGCCCTACCTTAATTTAATCTGACCTTTTTCTAATCGGACAGTTGATATTTAAACGAAATTTAATGTGGCGTTTCCACTGCACTTGATTCGCTCTCTATTCGTTGTTTGACCCTTAACTATGAAAAAACTACATTAGTTGTGTTCCAGTACTTTTTTAGTAGTAAAACTAGCAGAAAAGAGAACACTTCGAAATGTCATTCTCATTAAGGTTTGCTCAAAAAAAAAAGGGAACGGAAAATTAGCAGAAATGCGATAAAATGTCAAAATTCAAAATTACAAAAGTAAACAGCCTAAATCGGACTGGTGAAACCTTACTGAAAAGAGCGCCAACATTTAAAAAATGAGTATTGAAGACGATAGGTTAGGTTAGGTTAAAGGACGCGCGATTGCCATATGGCAACCGCTCCACTCGGAGACCTATAGGTCCATTGTGTTCATCCTAGAAAAGAAAAGAAGACGATAGGTTAAAATTAATAATTTATAATAATAATTAATAATCTGATTCCTCATTCAGCCAGTCCTTTTCACTGCTGGAATCATCCAAAAGTGAATACATCAGTTACTCCATATTTTCTCTTTTTGTTTTTTGCACGACAAATATTAGTTTTTCCTTTAGTTTTCAAGTTGATCATTTTCTTTATTGAAATGTATCAATACATTTTTCAACCTTGTTAGCCCTGCCAATTAAATGTCAAATTTACAATATGCACATTTCTGCTCGGCCAAATTCATGTAGCTAAAACAAGCAGAAATGTGCACCACTCAGCGCCATTTTTTTCTCGAGAGAGCTGCAAGTTTTGCTAGTTTTTGGAGTACGGGAACGCGTTGTAGCAGAATTAGTGTTAATTAGTACTAATTTGCAGGTTCTGGAACACAACTATTATTCTTCACACAAAATTTCCTGAGCGAACACTCATATTTGTACGTTGTTCAAATCAAATCACTCTCAGAACAACGAAAAAATATGTCCCATCCCTAACAAATGAGAGCATTTATCGAAAAAATAAATTATGACATTTAAAAATTAAAAATAGAAGAATTTAATGAAATTTTAAAAATTTTTGGGAAGACTGAAAATTATGAATGAATACTACAATGTTGAATGGCGTATGTACATTCAAACGAAAGTACATTTTGTTTTCTCCCTGACTCGAGGTACGCATTTTATCCACGAGTTGAAATTTCCACAGAAAACTGCAAACAAAAGAGGCAATATTTTCAAAAACTTTGTATCGGCAGAAAAAATTTTTGACAAGTGTCTCTCCAGCAAAATTTAAAAAAAGAAAAATACAAAAATATATTCAAAATGTCAACATTTGCACAAAAAGTTGAAAACGTGAATGAAAATTATAAAATTGATGATATAATAAATCTTTAGGAGAAAAACAATCATTTCTTCTATTTATATTAGTGAGAATTTCATGTATTTTCGTATAAATTCCCATTAAAATCAACAAACAAAATTTTTGAAAAAAGGAATTATTTTACTATGAATTACGAATCGTGCCGTATGAACGGGTTAATTCGTGTACATAATTCTGAAAGCGAACAACGTTGTTCGGTTTCCAATGGAAACATGCTATAACATAATTTTGTTATCGATCGGAAAGTTGTAAAATCGGCCCTGGTCAGTCAGAGATTTCCACTACATATATCAAATCAAAAGTGATTTGATAGTGAATCAAGTACCGTGGGAACATGATATAATGAAATTCATTCAGTTGATGTAATTTTTTCGCCTTAATCAGAAATTTTGACATTTCAAAAGATTTCATTTTTATGGCCGAGGTAACAATTCGCTCCAGGGCGACATATTTTATTGTTTACAAACAATTTGTATAGTATGTCTCCGATTTGTTGTAATGTTATAAATTGTAATTGAAATCATATAAATAATTTGGCAATACAATGACTACGAAGGTTTGTTGTTGCTTGTGCTTTTCACCGTGCTACAACTACAAACTAATGCAGAATGATAAAGGAGAAAGTACGGAGGTGTACGACATTACAGTCAAGTATTTTGATCCCATAATGGTTTGTATGGTTTGTAGTTTCCTATGGCACAAGTTTAAAAGGGATCCTTATCTACTGTTTTTAAAATCAATCTTTCAGATTCTAAGCGAGGAACAAAGTGGAAAAATTGAATCTTCAACAAAAGTTTTATGTAGTAACTGCTGGACTCACATAAACGATTTCCATGACTTTCAATTGGAGGTACATAAAACTCGGACAGAAATGCTGATGTTGGTGCAAGGACCTAGCAAGGAATTTGTTAGTGAAGATGAATTCTCCGACAGGGGAGGTATGGAAGGAAACGAGACTGATTCTGATATCGACGATATCCCACTGACCAAGTTGTTTAACAATGAAACTTTGCTGCACAAACCGATCAAGAAACAGGCTGAAGATGAAAAAGCTCTGCTTTTAAACACCGATAATGATAGTAAGGAAGAAAAGGTATCTAGTTTGGAAAATAATGGTAACATAAACTTTGACAAAGTTGAAGTAAACAGTACTTTGGAAACTAAAGAGGAAAAAAACGCAATTTTGTCCGAGTTTAAAGAGGAGGATGCAATGGATAGCAATTTCGAATCAGAAGTCAAATCTCCAGCAATAAATACACCGGAAAATGATATTGATATTAGCGAAATGGTTTGTGATAGTGAAAATACAATTAAAAAGTCGAGAAGGGGAAGAAAATCAAAAAATGAGATAGACAGTGAAACCGCAAAAGGAAAACATTCGGTCCGAAAATTAAAAAGCTCTAAAGATAAAAACAAAATGGAAAAATCACATAAAAAAGGAAAGGACCCTAAGCGAACGTCATATATGGATAAATGTCGAGAGAATGACGCATTTATAGCCCAGTGGAAACCGAACTTGGATTGTGATTTGTGTACGGCCACAGCAACTAATTTCAATACCCTGAGAGAGCACTTCCGTGAAGAGCATCAAACTAGGTGTTACATTAAGTGCTGTGATCGAAAATTTTACCGCCGTTGTGTTCTGATGGATCACATACGCCTGCACATAAATCCAGAAACACACAAGTGCGATATTTGCGGCAGGTCCAGCACGACAAAACATAATTTAAAGTTACACAAACAGGTTATGCACGGCAATTTGAATCAGTTCGAATGCGAGGTGTGCCACAGGCTATTTAATCAGAAGCCAACATTGGACCGACATATGTTAACGCATGTTAAAGGAGAGAACAAGTTCTTCTGCAAAGAATGTGGCAAAGGATATGTTTTGGAATTACAACTCAATTCTCATATCAAAACTGTTCACGGTGTCGATTGTGTTTGTGATCAATGTGGCAGAACATTTCATGGAGTCAATGCTCTCAAGAAACATCTATTGGATCATGCTGGAGTCCCAAAGCGTAAGTATCCATGTGACATTTGTGGCGCTCAACTAAATACCAACAATAACCTAAGACGACACAAAGCCGCCTATCACCACGATGGCACTACGGCATACATCTGTAGCATTTGTGGAAAGGTGTCATCTAGTGAGAACGCATTACGAGCCCACAAAAAACGTGTACACGAAGAGAACCGAAAACACAAGTGTACCTACTGCGAAAAAGCGTTCAAAAGGCCCAAAGACCTGCGAGAACACATAGCAACGCACACCGGTGTCGACTTGTATCAGTGTCCACATTGCCCGCAAACATTTAAAGTTAGTGCAAATATGCATCATCATCGCAAGAGGGCACATCCCATCGAATGGGAAGAAGCGAGAAAAAATCGCTTACAATTGCCTAAAGTGAATATTCTTGAGGTAACAAATCAAATAGTTATGTAAGTTTTAGAACATACTATAGTTAGTAATAGTAAGATGAAGAATGTATTTCCGCAATACGTAGATATTCTCCAGAATAGTGGAGGCACATTAAGGAAACAAATTGTTTACTTAATAAATCTTGTTTGTGCTCAAAAGTTTGATAACTACCCCACTATTTGGCAAGTTTTTTGAGGCAAAAATCAGTATTTGCCTCAAAAAAATTTCATATTGGAAGATCTTAATGTTTATTATAACCTACTTCACATATAACGGTACCTCCCGATATTCGTTATTTTCATGATTTTAGTGACATTATTTACTGAAATTACTTCAAATTTCGCATTTGAAGTTCGTAATGGGTGCTACAGCGTTGACAAAATTTTTTGTATGTAGGTTCACGTTTTCGTATATCCCCCATATGACGGTATCCTCGATATTCGGTACTTTTGATGATTTTAGCGACATTATTCACCGGAATTGTTTCAAATTTGGTATTTGATGTTCTTAAAGGGTACTACAGCCTATGACAAAAAATTTCGCAAGCAACTCCACGTCTTCGTATAGTCTCCATATAACAGTTTTCATTTTTTCGGGAAGTTTTTTGAAAATGTTCAAGTTCCTTCCAAATGGTGGAGGGTATTAAAAGTTCTGCCCGGCCGAACATAGCCGCTTTTTTACTAGTTTTTAAACAAAATTCTTATTGATACAAAATTGAATCCAAAATAGTAACACTATAGATTAATCCCGAAATTGTACAATTTGTTGTCCATCAACGTCGAAAATATTCATTAATTTTTGAAATAATTAAAAATTATTGTGTTTTTTATTCAAAACCATACACACACATATACAAAATGTGTATATGTTTTGACATAATAAAAAAATGTTGCTTTGTTCTACCTTCTGTAAAAAGTATTTACTATTATTATTATAAGTTGTTTTACTGGATTCAAAATTTCACAATTTTTATGAAAGAATAAATGTTTATGAAAATATCTTCGCACATTAATATTTTATTTTGTTATAATTCGCCCTCATTATGACTACAATGAAAACACATAAAACAAGTAGATTGAACTAAAATGTTCTATTTGCGGATTTATTAAAATAAAATAAACATTTATTAAACACATCGTTTGCTCAAAAGTAGCCCAGTAAATTATTACGACGAGTCAAATTTTTAATTTGTTGTGAAATAAAACGTTTTAAGAAGATTCATGTGTATAGGGAAAAAAGTAAATAAAATGGCCGGTTCGATTTGCGTAGTTCCTTATATATAAAACTCTTATATCCAAATTCTACTATAATTATCTTTGTTTGAGCCACTTTTACATATTAAGAGCTTAAAAACCAAAACATATTTTTAATTTGTCTTAAAATCTGGTCAAATCACCTATAGGGGGTACATCAAATTTAAAACCATCATAAGAGACGCACATAATTGTCTAAGAAGTATTCAATTCAGAGAGCAAATTACAAAACTTTTGTAAAACTTAAAGCCATTTTAATAAACTGTGCGACACAGATAAACAATTTAGGCCGTGGTCTTCTCTTGCTGTCAAAAGTTTGTTGTTTCTGCGGGAACTCCATAGAAAAGAATAGAGGACATGTCAAAACAGAAAAATTTGTGTATAGTTTTAAATTAAAAAACGGTGTTTTGATAGCAATAGCAGACAGTATCACATCGTAAAGACAACTTGGTAAAACTCACATCATTGCCCATCTATATAAATATTCTCATATTAATGAACAAAATATTCACTGCCATATTGGTATCCACAGGGTGATATGAAAAAACTGAAACCAACTTCAGACTGCTGTTACGTCTAAGCCACTCGTCCGGCTGCTGTTAAAATTATTCCATTGACAGCTCATTTTATTTTTTACAAGGGTACAAAAAGATTTTGGTAAGAATTTTCCAGAAAAAAAAAGTTATTCGTGATAGAATTCAAGCGTGATAGAGTGATTTCTTTATATTTGGCTGGAGAATCACAAGTGGCTATCGCTAGAGCACTCCAGCATTTAAATGTGAATAAATCTAACGGTAGCGTAGCCCGACGTCAAGGAAGTGGACGGAAGAAAACAGCATCATCAGCAGAAATAGTTCGAAAAGAATTGAGGCGACTTGCTTGAAACCCGCGTCGCAGTGGTCGAAAAATGACTCGTGAGCTTAACATATCGCAATATTCCATTTGGCAAATATTGAAAAATGAGCTCGAGGTAAAGCCATTGAAATTTCAAAAAGTGCCAAAAGAGCTAAAGAGTTGCTTCGCTTGGTCGAAAGTGGTGAATTGCACGCGCTTTGCCGAGAATGGGCCAAAATACTGCAGAGCATCATCCGGGCAGCGTGTGACGGTTTCATTGGCTGTTTGAAGGCCATAATTCGTGCCAAAGGTGACCAATTCGAACAAATCTAAACTTATTCTAAAATTTGATGTTATTTCCGATAATTTTGCTTTAATTCAATGAAATTTAAAAAAAGTAAAAATTATGGCGTTTGACTTTGTTGCAGTTTTTTTTTATCTCACCCTGTACTTTGTGATAGACTACACCCAGGCTGGAAAATTTTGTCCTAATTAATGTGTTGTCCCTAAGTGTTCTTTGGACATATGTTGTATCGGAAATATATGCTTTGTTCAGTATTATTGTTTTATGTCCCCATAATTAAACTTTCCTATAAACATTTAAGATTTTTAGCATCTAATCATAGAATTACAAAAATGTATGTAATATTAGAGTTTAATTTATACTGAATCTAAAATAAATTATGATATCTTACCAATATATTATAAAAATACAAACTAAAATGGCGCAGTCATCCTTTACAGTTGTATTAATATTTAATGGTACATGATATTTCCACGTCAAATAATTAGAATTTTTGTCCGTTTTCTAGTGTTAAAAAAATTCGACTTTTTTTGCAAGAAAGCTAAACACATTCATTTAAATTAATGTTACAGAAAAACGTCGGACATACAAAATGTCAAAGATTAACAAAATTAGCTTTGACAAAACCTTTTTGTGTGTTTGTATGTTGATAATAGAACAAACAATACAAAAATTTAATAAAAATTAGTTGGCCTAATTGTATGGACCTGCCGTATTTGGTAATATCATAGTGGGGAAGGTGAGTATTAGGTAGATCCCAAATTAAATTTTGAAAGTCTATTTTTGAAAACAGCTGATTGTCGACTTATTAATTATACCTTAGTCCAAAATATAAAAAATCGAAAATTTCTCCCTTATATCCCAAATACGAAACAATAATTCATTTTGGTAGCTGATTTTTTTAGTCAATTGGGTTTTCTGTGTAACATATTGACAGACGATGGGGGCTACTATTCGCAGAGCCCAAAATTCAATGTGGAATGAATAGCCAACTCAACTCAAATCAATGAATAGTCACTAATTGTTTTGACAAGGAAACTTTTTTATATTCTCATAAAAAAGTTTCTTTGCTTTTTGTAATTTTGGCCGATGGTGTTTTCTTGTTATTCTATTTTGTGTCAGCTGTTTGATTTTTGCAGCCCCACAGAAAGTAAATATTTACATATTTTATAAACATTAGCATTTCGCATTCAAAAAAACATTTATCACTAGAATATTAAACCATGCAAAATTCGAACAGCAATGTGCATCGTCTATGTTGTGAAACTTGCTTCAGATGCAGTCAGAAGTTCATTGGTGCCGATGACAAATGTACCCCATTATATGAGACAACGCTAAATTTTTCGATCCTATGGTTAGAGAGAAGTATATCAGCGTATGCTTACAATTGATATGTTGTATACTATTTATGAAATTACTGGCTTTGGAAAATATGAATGGGGCGAGTATTATACAATGCAACAACGTTCTTTGTGTGGATTGTTGGGATCATACTTAGAAATTCTACGATTTCCTTAAAAATGTTTTGTAGAAAAATTATCTCATGCTTAAGAATTTTGGCTTGGATGGCTTTCAATAAAAAGGGAAGTCAAAGGGAATGTTTTAAATCTAGTCTACTTTAGATCTAGTTGCTTTAGGTACAGTTCGCACACTTAGTACACATTTCCTCATCTTCATATATCAAACATATTTACCTACCTTGATTGTCAAACCGAATTTCAAGATTTTAGCTATATAGGTTCACATTATACCAAATGGTACCATTTTAGAAATTTAGTACCATTTTCGTAACCTTAAAGTTTGAATTTCCAAACACTTTATGGTACATCTATCCTGCACTCCATCAGAGACTCTCATTCCAAATTCCAGCTTTACCGGTTCACCAAAATTCCATTTGGTACCATTTAGCACACACAAGTACAAATATCCATACCAACCTGCATCAACCAATTCAATAAAAATCTTATTATCCAATTTCAGGATTCCAGCCTTGTCGGTTCACCCAAATTCAAATTGTACCAAATTTATTACTATTTAGTATTACACTCCCACGGTAATACCAATTTCAAATTTCAGAATTCTGGCTCTATAGGTACACCCAAATCCAAATTGGAAATTTAGTACATGTAAGTACAAATTTCCAATGATGCCTCTACATCAAAATCTTACAATACGACAGTAATCTTGATTCGAAATTTCAGCATTACAGCTCTATCAGTTCACCAAATCAAAATTGTACCAAATTAAGTACCACTTAGTACACATAAATAAATACTAATTTCCGAAACTACCTGAACACCCTTGTTCTATAATCTAATAGCAATCTTATTTCTAAAATTCAGAATTCTAACTCTATCGGTCCACCCAAATCAAAATTTTACCAAATTTACTTTTTGTGCACATATGTACAATTTTCGATAAACTTCCTTCATATTCCAATCATACACTCCGCCAGTAATGTTAATTTCCAATTTCAGGGTTCCAGCTCCATCCGTTCCTTCAAATTGTACAAAATTTAGTACCGTTTAGTATTTTTCATATACATAAGTACATACTTCCAAAACTGTCTCCTTACATCGACTCTATTCCTTAATCTTGATTCCCAAGATTCAAGTTTTCAGCTCTAACGAAATGGTACCAAACATAGTACATTTTAGTAATTATCGTACACTTATAATTTCCAAGAACCATTGGGTACATCTATCACAGACACCACCAGCGACCCTCATTCGAAATTAAAAAAAAAAAATCCTCAAATACAAAGGGTACCATATTTATTACCATTTAATACTTTTCGCACCGTTCTAGTACGAATTTCCAAAAACCCAGCCTTAACTGACCCCTTAAGACCAAGAGTGATCCTCACCTAAAATTACAAGATTCTAGCTTTAGCAGTTTCGTGTAGGCGTTTGACGAATTAATTCTTTTCGTACCGTTTTAGTAAGGTTTTCAAAAAAAAAAAAAAAAAAAAAAAAAAAAAAAACAGCCTTATCTGACCTTTTTGGACCAAGAATTATCCTCACCCAAATTTTCAATATTTTAGCTTCAGCCGTCCGCCTGGGCGTTGATGAATCGTTAAGTCAGTCAGGTAATTATTTTACTCTTTTATTAATATAGACTATCGATTTTTTGAATATGGATTTAAAAAAATCCCAAAAGTCGAAAAATGCCCCATTTTTGGATTCCATGAAATAACCCCCAAATTTTAGTTGACAGTATAGCCTTTCCTAAATGCTACAATTTCTGTTATTATCATTATTGGATCCAGAAATATTGGTATTTGAACCCAACGCTTCTTTTCCGTATATTTAAGTTAGCTTTCAAATGATACCTAAATTGTCTATATCGGTTTAGTAGATCCGATCTAATCCGTTCTCAGACCCCGACTTTGGGTCTGTTCCCCAAAAAAAAAAAATAAATAAATAAATTGCTTAATCAGGGTACAAGTACATACCTCTGGAAGAAATTAAAAAAATCTGAGAATTTTTACTAAACTTGAATAGATCCGTGTGATCTATGCAAGGAGAATTTTACAATCTAGGGATCATTACGCACACACTTTACTAAGATCCATCAACAGAAATGTTATGTATTCTCATGCGACAAAAAGATTCGCTGACATTACTTCCTTGTCGAACGTTCACACCTAAATCCAGATATGAATGCATGGTTTTTATTGGGGGCAATAGCAATAGCAACAGAGCCTCCTAAGAAGTCCACAAACAATTCATTCATGAAACAAAAAAAGTCAGGAGTGTCAAATATTCCAGGGGAAATTCAAAACGAAAACTATGAGGTCCAAAATTGTCGTGTAATCTTTGTAATGCACAATTATCCTCGCACAGTAGACTCAAATCAAAAAAAAAAAGATTGTGAAAAAGCGGGAGCAAGTAAAAAGACCCATAGTGCTAAACACTCTGGTCAAAGTTTAGATCAATATACTCATACAATTAAAAATAGAGTCAATAATCATAATTATCAAAAAAAGCTCATCCCATTGACCGGGCAAGAGAAAGTCGTTTATTAGCACAGTCAAGTCTGATAGTGTGACAAAGGCAATTCTTTTGTAAAAAATAAGATTAGCGAAATAATAAAACATGTGCGTGTATCACCGACGAAGAGAGGGGTGCTGTGGTAGGCCCAGCCTTACTCAAATAGTAATATTTTAAGATATTTTTATAGTTTTTTTTTTTTTTTTTTTTTTGCTTGATAAGTTCATTTCATATTTGTTAAGCCCCTCCAAAATGGTTTCAAAAGACATTTCTGGCTACGTCTTTGGTATGTATATAGGTTATGTTAAGTATTACATGGTTGATGTGATATAAAATTAATATTTATACATTTCTAAACACTAATTAGAAAATAACATATATTTATTACAAACTAATTATAATTTTCCATTACATTAATCATATGCTGAAACCAATATATGTCATCTAACCGAGAATAAATTGGAATTTCTCCTGAATCGTGCAACCGTTTCACGACGAAAGCATAACAGTAAGACATAGGAAATTCTATATTTATATTGTTCATACAAACGAGAGGAGTTTTTCTTACTAAAATAGAGCCTGTACGACCCTTCTAGTTTTACATTTTCTAATTTTATTCTGGTGGCAGAACGATCCAGTTTTTTCAACCCCAGATTGTTGACTTCATTGCATATAATTTATACTATCCTCTTGCCCTTGTCTCACAAGTTGTTCAGTATAAACCAAATGAACAATTGGGACCGAATAAAGTAGTGGCCGTAAAACCAATATGAAGCTTGGAATTATAAAAATAATATGAGTTCTTCAGCTGCGTGAAATCGCATGTATCTTTTTAAATTTACCTATTACCTAGTAACTGAAGGAATATCTAGTTTTTGAAATTCGAAAATCGTTGCTTAGTAACAAATACGATGACCAGAATAAAAATTCTTTCTCAGGAATGAGTTTGTTAGTTGACCCCATATCTCATATTTATTTTCTTTTTTGTTTTGTAGTATATATTTAACATTATTATATATTGTTGTGGTGTTATATTCAACTGTCAAACATCATCTTTAAGATTAACAAAGACATTGGGAAATATGCAAATGTAAACACACATTGCCTTTATTGTAAAAAAATAATATGAGAAGAGTACGTACAAATAAGATGATTAATTTTTCAACGTTTTTAAATGTTTATAACATATTTAATTTTAAAACTGAAAATCATAATTTTTTGTTTTGCCAGAGAACAACACCTTTGTAACATATTTATGTGTACGTCCTCCCAATGGGCGTGAATTAGGTTTTTTTTTAAATATTGTACTGTTTTGTATAATTTTTAATTTATTTTCCATTGAATGTTAAAAGATATGCGTGTGTATGTGTGTGGTACATTTGTATCATTATTCCATTTCCAATATACGTATATTTTAGTTTTCGATTTGAATTCAAATAACATTAAAATAAAATAAAATCTGATGACAATAAGGCATTTTATCAGAAGAGTGGTGGCTTGCTGGAAGAGACACTTGTATAAATAGGGACTTCAGTTGAAGCAGCGCCTGATCGATCGTTGTAAATTTATCTAATAATCATCTAAATCGAAGTCCTCGTTGTCCAGTTCGTCGAGTTGCATACTTTGGAAGTCGACCTTGTAGCGCAAAATACCACCGATACCACCGAAACCGCGAACAAATTGACTTCCCTCTTGTGACCTATCAGTGATAATTTCAAGGGTGGCACCAAAGATTTTGTAGTTATTCGCCAGCCATTCCAAAAGTGGCATGGATTCGACAAGTTCCATCTCAACTCCGGTCTCCTTGTCCGTAAAATGGGATTTGTCTTTTTCTTGCTCCGGCGTCAAATGTAATACTGTGGTTGACGTAGAACTTGCATGATTTTTCAAAACATATCTCTGAATGTCCAAATTCTCCCAACAGATCAAGGTCTCCACGGAACCCAATTCCAAAGCACGCAACGTATCTTCAATTCCGAAACAGTATTTTCCAGTGTCCTGTGAAATCTCATCGAAGTACCGGCCGATCAGTTTCTTCTCTTGAATGAATTTAACGTTTTGCAATGACTCAGCTGCCAATTCAATGGCCTGGTTGAAACCGTTTTCACCGCCATACGATACGTCCACCATTTTGATGATCTTGGACTGCAACCTGGGATCGAACATATCAGATTGGCCCAACTCAGTTTTGAAATCGGCACTACCAGCGAGGATCAAACCGGCCACATTCGGTTTATCGTTGGTGATGAACAATTGAGTAGCCACCTCAGCGACTTTGCGCACGTAGTTGTGACGTTTTTCCATACGCAAACGGGCGAAACGCAAAGCAGACTGACCACCTCTGCCGTGCTTTTTCGGCAAATCGACAGTGAATTTGTGCAAAACATCGCGTGTATTGCCTTGCAATGTACCAAACAAAGCTCCATTACCGTCCATCACAATAAACCCGAACTTATTGTCATCGGCCAAGAGGGCAGTCAAGGCTTCAGTGTGGAATTTATTGTCGCACAAATAGAGCGAAGTATTAATGGGCTTAAAAGGTTCAAAATCAATGTTGACCTTCTTTTCTTTGCCCTCGTCGGTGACAATGGTGCCGCAATAAATCACCAATCCATTGGGTGGCACCTTGGTATACAACTTGAGTCTGTGTTGAACCGAAGTGATTGCACCCAAGACGGATAGACGATTTACTCGCGACTTAATGTTCGAGGCCGTGCCAAATTCATCGGCCAACATTTTGCTGACACGTGATATTTGATCCTTTGGTGGAATAATGAGGGAAATCATACTGGTACCATTACCTCGGGCCATTTCCAGACTTTTAATCAGTTTCTTAATTTTCCATATTTCGACATTGCGATCAGCTGACGTTTCTTCAGACATTTTGTTAATATATTCTACGATCACCACAAATCCAAATCTCGATCTTTATTTAGTCCGAAGAATTTTTTGCCAGAGAGATCGAGTCTGCAAACGCCACGATTCCCTCTTTTGTGTATAAAATAGATTTTTACTTTCTACTTCGATAAAATGGTAGGCCCACACGAGTGATTTCGTGTAGCGTGTTCATAAAGGTGGTTCACACGGGGCGAATTAAATTGGCACGATCAAAAGGTTTAACCAAACTCTTTCCCCAAAGAATGTGTATGTGGGTGAGGTTGAATTTTCGAAAATTCACTCATATTTATGATAAATTATATTTTTTTCTATTAAACGAATTCGAAAAAAGATTTTTGAAAATAATTTCAGTTTTTCGAAGTACTCAAAAATGGCGTTGAACGTTCGACAATGTTTCTTAAATTATTAACAATGCATTTCGGAACTATTCTACGAAAAGTGAACACAAAATTTGAAAAATGATGACTTATAAAAAAAGGTGAATTATTATTTGTGATATGGATTGAGTCAACATACCTTGTAATGTGAACACCTTGCATCAAATGGTATTCATACGTGCAAATCTTTTAATGTGGGTACACCTAAATGGTGACGTTTCGATATCACAGTTATCGATCGACATTTTGCAAGGTAACCAGTTTGTGCCAGTTTAAGCATACGCCCGAACAGCCTTTGAAAGAGTTACGTAGGAAAAATGATTTTCGTTAATATATGTATAGATGTGGCATCTGTGATGAATCATTCTCAATGGAAAATGATTAAGCATTTTGTGGCAAAACGTAGGGATTTGATTTGCTCAAATGTGTTGCAATGTTGTCAATTTGTGCATTTCAGAGTGACATAAAGTTGCGATGGTGACTACTTTTTGAAAAAAGAACCGGTTGCGTAAAACTATCTCTGCATGAGTGTTAGCACAGCACTAATGTGCGTTTTTACATAGTCGATTAGATTCTTCCGTTAAACTTTGTTTAACTTTTTAAAGTGCATTTAATCGACGAAGGGTTAGTTCGTTAACCCACTAATTTAGATTTGATGCCATTCAATTGCCCCAAGGCACGCGAAAAAGCGAATTAAGGTAACAAATATAGCCGTATTCGATTCTGTAGCAATTAACGATCCGACAATCTGCCTAACTAAACGTAGACATTAATAATTGTGCTATTCTACAAAAATTTGCACATATTCCCGACAAGTTTTTCGAGTTTTCAGTTTTGAATATTTTAAAACATGTTATTGTTGTGAAAAATAAAAAAAATAAATCTTAAGTCAATGATTAAAAAGAGTACATTACGGGGTGCGCATGGAAGATTTTAAACAGTTTTGCTATAAAAGTGAATTATTAAACAGTTTGGATCTAATTTTTAAAAGAAAATCGGGATATTTCATGCACTATTCGGGATTTTCACGCATATTAAAAATGAGGATCAAATATTACATAAATTAGAACAAATTTTTGTTTTTAATTTAATTCTTCCAGATTTCGCCGGATTTAAGGTTTTTGCGGTGTTTGGCATAATTTTGATGCTATGTTCAAGAATGTACCTGAACCTATGTACCTGAAAGAATGTACTTTTTGGTCCGTTCAAGAACCTATAAAAATCTATCAGTTTTGGAATTTTCTCCGATATCATAAAAGAGGAAGGTTATCGTAGTAAACTTTTACATTCTTGCAGTTCTGGAACAGACCATTTGTTATTGGATATCATAAAGGAAAAATCGGTTATTGTAGTAAACACTTTTACATTCTTGCTGTTCTGGAACAGGCCAAGAATTTGCTGTAAATTGCCAAAAGTTTTTACTACGATAACCGATTTTCCCTTTATAATATCGGACAAAATTACAGAAAATTGTATGTAGGTCCACGTCTTCGTATAGCCCCCATACAACGGTACCTCCCAATATTCGGTATTTTGATGATTGTACCGTCATTATTCGCCGTAGTAGTTTTAAACTACGTATTTAGTGTTCGTATTGGGAACTACAGTCTGTGAACGATTACTGCAGCCTATGACAGAAAATTGTCTGTGCACGTTCACGTCTTCATACAGGCCCCATATAACGGAACCTCCCGATATTCGGTATTTTGATTATTTTAGCGGCATTATTCACCGGAAATGTTTCAAATTTGGTATTGAAGTTCGTGATGGGCACTACATCCTATGACAGAAAATTGTCTGTGCAGGTCCACGTCTTCGTATAGCTCCATATAACGGTACCTCCCGATATTCGGAATTCTCATGATTTTTGCGACATTATTCACCGGAATTGTTTCAAATTTTGTGTTTGAAGTTCGTAATGGATACTACAGCCTATGGCAGAAAGTTGTCTGTGCAGGTCCACGTCTTCGTATATTCCTAATATAACGACATAGGAAGGATTCGGTATTTTGTTGATTTTAGCTACATTATTCGCCGATTTTTTATTCAAGTTTCACATTTGAGAATTGTAATGGTTTATGACAAAAGCCTATGCAGGTCCACGTCGTCGTATAGACCCTAATATAACGACTTCATTCGGCATTTTTAAGATTTTAACAGACTTTTTAACGGATGTTATTATTGTGAAAATTGCCAAAATCGTTCCAAATGGTGAATGGTATTCAAAGATCGGCCCGGCCGGACTTACAGCTTTTTTACTTGTTTACAGCTCCAGCTGGATTTTACTGATATTTCATTTTTAGACTTCCCTGCTGGGGGGTATATGTATCAATGTCAAATTATATGTCAATTTTTCATTATTAAAAAATAATAATTTTAATAAACAAACATTGTTTTTATAAAAACAACAATAAGCCTGACTATTTTGCAACAACATAAAAACTTAGTATAAAAGATATTCAAGAAAATTTGTCACAAATATACATTGTATTATTATTTAAATGCAATCTTCGTAAACTCAACGGACATTGTTTCAACTTAAAGAATTTCATACTGATTTCATTCAAACGTATCAAGTGTTACATTAAACAAATAACATTTAGGCGCCCTTCCTAACAAGACAGCAGTGGAACAATTTGTTCCTCCTCCAAGCGTGAATGTTAATGTCAAATGTGCACGCAATTTCCGTTCGATTGGTTGTATATTCTCGCGCTGCGAGCATTAATCATATTTGACTTCGAAGCAGGCAATAAAACGTCAATGTTTAATTGAAAAAACAAATAGTCGCAGCTAAAGGCATCACTTTACAATATACAAAAATTATGAAAGCCAACGATAGAACGCTAATCGTGTGTACGATATTATTATTCATAGTCAGAGGATATGGAAATGTAAGTTGTTTCCGAAACATCGATGGATCAATCAATTTTTAAATTACAAAATATTTTTTATAGCCACTACCACAAAAACAGTTGTTGGGATTTATGGAATTTGGAGAAAGTACTCATACGTTCGATGTGTTTCAGATACATGACGTTCAAAAAAGTAATATACGCGAAAGAAGACAAGCTTTCTGGTACCAACAAAATGCTGCCCAAAAACAAGCTCAATCATTTTTAGAACTCATATTGGGTGTTATGGATACGTTGCAGTTTGGAAAACGAAAACTTGGTGCACCATCGTGAGCCTAAAATATATTGAATAAGCTATACTAAATAAAAATTTCATTGAAGCTCATAGATGTGTAAAAGTTTAAGGCAAATTAAAAAAAATGGTCAAGTATATTCCGGGTTATTTCACAAAATTCAATCTAAGAGAGAAGGACAACATTGTTTTATTCTTAAATTGTAATATTTATTATCCATTGCAGCCAAAGATACCAGTCATATAGTATATGGTAGTATGACACAGAAATAATGTCCTCAATGGTCTACTATAAACGTGTCATAAGGATTAGATATTGATTAACAACCCCATTCCATTTTTATTTATTTACACAACCAACGAATGCCTAATGGACAGCATATATTATGAGATATTGATAAACAGAATAATAAAAATGAATCTAATTTAATGTAAAAAAAAAACAAATCTAATACATAGCACACGGTCCCTTAAAATCCAAAGGGGGTAAACATTTAACATAAATATGAGGAAAAATTGTTGGCGGTAATATGAAACGTATAGAAAAAGATTAAGTGTGGAGAAATACCTTGAGAGATTTCTTCTTCTTTATGTATAGTCGTTAAATAGATATACTGGAGTACCATATTTAATGACACAAAGTGAAGACATCTAAGAAACAAAAAGGTTTCAAAAGAACAACAACTGTTTGACCTTATTAAATGGACTTTGTCCAAAACGACATCGGTAAATATATATAAATCTTAGAATGCTGTAACAGCATGTTTTAATGTTACGTTACGCGGAGCTGGGTACTAGTGTGAACTTTCAGTCCATATACGATTTTTCAGATGAGTGCTAAAGTAACCATCAAAGGTATAAAAATGTCTTAACAGAAGATAATTTCAGGAACACATTTTAGCAATATGAAATATGAAATTGACTTTGATCAGACCCAAAAACAAAAGACAGAGTTTAATATGAATGTTACATTACAACTTTGTAATATAATAATTTGATCTGATAGATCATAATGATCATGATTACCGATATCAGATATTTCGTCTTGTTGTTAAGAATACACCAATAAAAAACTTGACCAAGATTTCGGATACATTGAGAAAGTATCTGAGAAGACGAAAAAATTGCATAGATACTAGCATGGAATTTTATACGGTATACAAGTTAAAAGAAACAGGATGGACACGTATTTGTTATTTAATCAAAGTCTCTAAGACTTTAGAAAGTGCCGATAATATAGAAATCGGAATAAAATCAGAACATAAAGAACCCTATAATCCTGGATCCAACCTTCCACCTCGTGGGAAACTAACTTTATTAAAATTTTGAATTATCATTTTAAAACGTATGTTTAACGTGCCGCTATCGAGAAAATTGTCTATAATCGACCTTTACTTATCGATTCCACTAAAGAAGAAAGAGAAATTGGTCCAATTCCGGCCTAGTTATTCCTAAATAGTGAATGGAGAGAAACAAAACGATAGTAGCAGCTAGTTCCGCGCTCTTTAGTGAAGATGTTCAATTTTCTCATGTCTCATTCGTAAACAACAGAGTACCCGGAGTCTTTGCTTTCTGTTTATTTTTTATCAAGTATTGCTTTTTGGCCTTTATATTTGCTTGTACTGTATAGTACAAATTTTCGAAACTAGTCTACTGTCTACTGCCATCGATTGGTTGTCATTTCTAGTTTGTTGTCGGAGTGGGGTGTTTGGTTTAATAAAAATATTTGTTTGAATAAATGAAATAACAATTTATTTATTAAAACTTTTTAAACAATTAATAGACTATTTTTTAGTGTAAAACAAATTAATTAAATAAAAATGTCGTTGAAATACAGCCATGCCATAGTGGCCAGGTAAGTAAACCTGTCAAAAGGTACTTGAGCTTAATAAACAGGTAATAAAGCTGCTACGTTAATGTTTCTATTAAAACGTGCAATTTGTGTTGAAATTTATTTACAAGCAGAAACGCTACGAACAATATTTTTGGTAGTACACTAGATTTTAATATAGAACTACATGTAATATTAAAATGGATTTATTTGGGCACAATTATTCGCACATATCCTTCTCGATAGTGAAAAGTAGGCCACTTGGGCGTTGTACTATAAATGAGTAAACTAGATTTTATTACAAAATAGCTTATGTCATTTTTTTAATGTCAATTATTTTCGTTAATAGTTTGGGTGTGGTGGTCCTTTGACAAAGTAATTGCTAGCATAATTCACTTAACAAATCTACACAATAATTCACCATTCATCTATTCAATTAATGGCAATCAAGTGTTTTGCAAGAGAACAACGGTGTAGTGGCTCAGCTAGATTTGCGGGGGTGGGAGATTTCTGTTTATACAATAACGATTCGGCAAACAAATTGTTGGTTTTATGTTTAAACGTGTCAACCTTTTTTAATGTAATAATACAATTTTTAATATAATCTTCTGAATACTTTAAAACACTGCGACATATCCTTGAGATAGATTACAGAAAACGACATTTGTCAATAGTTTTCACTAAATGTGTTTCTATGAACGCACAATGAAATAATTAAAATGCTTTTGCTTATCCTAATAACGTTCATTAACTTTTTTCATATTCAACTGGCACCCATATTAAAACATAACTTGAATTTTTTGTATTATTGTAGACTTTCAGATGGGTTAAGGAATAAAGAAGAGTTCGATCTAGAAACGGCCAAAGAACAACACAAGCAGTTCTGCAGTTTATTAAGAGAAATTGGTTTAGATGTCATTGAATTGCCACCCGATGATGAATTGCCGTACAGTGTTTTTGTGGAAACATCTGTTGTTATATGTAATGGTGTAGCATTAATTGCCAAATCTGAAGATCCGATGAGACAGAAAGAGGTAAATGTTTGTAACCACAATAAAGTGTATTAAAATACAATTACTGTTTTCTATTCAAAACCGTGAAGGCCAACAGTATAGCTATAACGTTAAAAAAGGAATTAGATATTCCAGTGGAGGTAATAGAGAATCCAAATGCACAACTACATGGTGGGGATGTATTGTTTACAGGTAATTTATGATTTTTTTTTATTATAAATGGAATGCGCTAATTGAGTTTCTGTTTAAAGGTAGAGAATTTTTCGTTGGTATTTCAAATTTTACCAACGAAGACGGAGCTAGAGCGGTTGCAACAACTTTTCCCGAATATCCTGTAACTCCAATAAAGGTGATATTTGACCGATTCACATAACAAAAAATATATAGAAAATAATTTTCTCTAATAAACAGGTTGGTGGCACAAAACCTCTGAAGTATTATGTCTCGATGGCGGGACCCGATGTCTTAAGTGTCAGTAATAGCACTGTTTGTCAGGAGATTGTTAAACGCATGGAACGAGAAGCCAGCTTTAAATATTTAAAAATTACTTTACCAGAGGAACATGCCGCCAATATGCTATATATTAACGGCACACTGGTTTATCGTTCACCTGAAGAAATTTTAGAATCATATAAGGTGAGTAACTATTGCATATGCTTTTGAATCGCAAATTTATTTACTTTTTACAATTGCTTTGCAGATAATTAAGGAAAAAATTGACATTCCATCTCGCAACATTAATATTAGTGAATTTAGTCAATTTTCTACTGGACTAACATCGGCGTGCGTTTTATTGAGACGTTGGAAATCTATACGAAACATTTAAGCATCGTAGACGACTGCAACAAGATCTACTCTAATGTAGACAAAAGAATTCCATTGAAATTACATTTTCTTCCGTAGACTAATTGCAATAGCTAAATATAAATAGAATAGACTATACTACACATGCACTGTTAACATTTTATAATTGATCTTTCGATCAACGTTTAAACGCAGAATTTTCTATAACTAGATTTAATATGAAAACAAGTTTAGTACAATATTTCAAATATACAATTTTGCACATCATCTATAGAGTAATCGTATTAATAATTGATATTATTATGTTTTGAATTTGATATAAATTTACTATTGACAATATCTATGTTTTGTTATAAACAATTTTATATACATACATCAATAAAATGCATTTAAATGTATACATAAAATATGTTTACCATGTAAATGCTATTGAATGCAAATCTCAGTTTGTTAGATGAAATAAATTTGATAATTATAACACCAAATTAATATGTTCCTTGATTTATAATAGTAGTAGTTTATTACACGTTTGCATGTTAAGTCAATATTATGAAAAATCGGTTTTCAATCCTGTCAAGAGACGCTAAAATTGAAAAATATTTGTTGGAGGAAAAATACAAACTTGGGAATTCATCAAAATCTATTGCATCATTAAAAAAAATAAATAAATAATATCATATAATTTATCTATTTTATATTTAAACCTTTAAAACCTTGATTTTGAAAAAAAAAAAAAAATATGCACCACATAAACGTGAAAAATTTGTTGCATATAGTGGTTACGAAGCTGTTCTCATCATTCTTATTTTACCATGCTACCATCTACACTACACTTTGGGATGATAGTATTATCAAAGCAGCGGAGTCGCATTATCACCATCTTTTAAAAATAGAACAGCCAAAATTACTGTCTCAGGGAGAAATGAAACAATCTTAATCAGCTTTTTAGGACAATTCACTGAATTTCTTCAAAAATCATTTATCATAATTTTGATGATTTTAGGTACAATACCGAAATTGTTTGAGATACCGTATTTGAAGTTCGTAATGGATGCTACAGCCTGTGAAAGAAAGTTGTCTATGCAGGACCAGGTCTTCGTATAGCTCCGATATAACGGTACATCCCAGTACACGATTTTAGCTACATTATTCACCGTTTATTTCAAGTTTCGAATTTGAATATGGTAATGGTAAAGACCTAAATATTTTAAAGATTTTAAAAGAATTTTTAACGGATTTTATTTTTTGAAAATTTCCAAATTCGTTCCAAATGGTGGAGGGTATGTATTCAAAGTTCTTAAGGCTTTTTAACTTGTTTAAGTTTTTAATGATGATTTTCAAGACGTAAGTTATAGCGATAGTAGGAAATAGTAAGACGTAAGTTATAGTGAAATCGGTTTGCTCTACAATGGGGTTACTGTAACTTGGGAGATATGTCAAAACCTTTTAAAATACTAAATATTCTTGCGACCCGTTGCGAACACAAATACCAAATTGTAACTCCTATAGTTAAATAAAATGTGATTTAAACCTTTGAAATTTAAACTAACAAACTAACTAACCTATAGTTAAATAAATGTGATTTAAACCTTCGAAATTTAAACTAACAGAAGATAAATCTATATTGGGAGTAAATAGAATCTTATCTCTTCCATTTTATGATGAAAGTACAAGTCTAACTTTAGTTTGATTGGACACACCAATTTCAATGTAGAGCATTAAGTCCTATAAATACTCACATCAAATAAATATATCATGTAAATCACATGATGAGCAACATTGGATCTCAGTGGGTTAATGCGTTTCACACGTTCTAGAAGTCTAGCATAAAATAATAGTTCTATGATGTAAAAATATTTAACAAATCGCTTAGTGATACTAGACGATTTTAATATGATAATAACGTCACTTGGGATTTGTAACCATACCAGGGACAACAACAATTTAACAACAAGTGAACCGAATCAGACATACACCTATTGATAAGAAACATAATAAACAAAAATATTTGTTAAAATTCAAAAGAAGATCAATAACAAAAACAAGACCAAAGACGGCGGCCATAGACCGCAAAACGATCACCACTAGCCACAACGAGCCATTAGCAAAAACCGGCATGGAGAAGAGAGCAACCAGCAAATTATATGGAGCTCTCATCCCCAATATGAGAGCGGAGACTCAGCAAAGAGCAGAAGAATAGTTCTTCAGCAGGGATGCCAACTTAATAATTTTGTTGTATCATTCTTTGTAATAAATTTAACATTTTCTTGTATTCGAAAAAATAAATTGTTGTTTGTTAGATACATATCAACTAGTAAATATAAAATAGTACTTGTTCCATAGAATTTATAGACAACGTAATGTTAGTTTTAGTTCAGCACGCGCTTGTATAGCCAACATGCTTATTGATCCAGTTGGCCTACTTGACTTCGAAAACACATTTCTTCCCTTTTCCAGGATTTTCCTTGATTAATGGAATAGTTTTTAACAGTCAACTACCCTACTGTTGTTAATATGTTTAAAATTGTAGGTTTCAGTGACTTTAATATTTTCACTGATTCCCCTGAAACGACATAGACGATCACTGCTTATTCGGATTTTTTCGATAAGCGGTAAGAGCATTCCGTTGTCTGTGTATTCATTAGTTTATTATGCTTGTACTTTTCATGCCGTGAAACATTTTCCTACTCCACCCCAGAAACAAGCCACTTGTAAACTTGAGAAAGATGGCATCCCTGTTCACATACGAGGTTGTTGTTGTTGTCTTTGATATTATGTTGGGAATCATTGTGGGGGTAAATAACAAGCCATTCGCAGGCGTCTGGATCAGTCTGTTTTCAACATTTCAAGTTTTCGAATCGAAAACATTCTAGCCGGGTAGCAATTAAGACACAAACACGTGTTGGGGTGTTATAAAAAGCAAAAGAAAAGATCATAATGAGTAAAGGTGAGTTTGGTAACATTAACGCAATTTGTTAATTATGTAGGAAATTGAGAATAATTAACTTGTTGAACAGTTGCAGGATACACACTTGGTTCTCTAATCATCGAGGGTAAGACCAAACAGGTCTTTGATTTACCTGAACATCCTGGCAATTGTTTGATATTGAGCAAGGATCGCATAACAGCTGGAGATGGTGCCCGTGCTCACGACTTGGCTGGAAAAGCTGAAATCTCGAACTCCACAAATGGTCAAGTTTTCCAAATCCTCAACGATGCAGGTAATTAAACGTATTAAATGTGGCTGGTGACAATGTCGTATCTCATGTGCGTATTTGCTTTTTTACTTTCATGTGTAGGTATTCATACTGCCTACGTGAAACAGGCTGGTCCCAAGGCTTTTATTGCCAAGAAGTGTGCAATGATACCCATTGAATGGGTAACAAGACGTTTGGCAACTGGTTCATTTTTGAAACGCAATCCTGGTGTTCCAGAAGGTTATCGGTAAGTTCCCAATTGACACTAGTGACAGCAATTACTGCATGTTGTATTCAAGGTCATATTTCTAATAATGACCAAAATCATACAATAATATATTTCTAATTTTAAAATAAGACTCCAGTACTTTGTGGGTTCATTTCGTCTCATAGTAAAAACAATTTTATATATTAAATCGGTGAAGAAATTCCTCCACTAAGAGCTATTAATTTAGTGGCTTAAATTGATACCTGTATTATAATTTTTTTTTACGTTTTTTCAAAGTAGTTAATCAAATCCAAGTATTAAAATCGACTTCCAATTAATGATTATATTATACCCTCTGCCATATGACTAGAGAGGGTATATATCATTTGATACGGTCAAAATGTGCCTAGTCTTTTGACCAAATCCGTTTCAGGACATTAGGAGTCGATCTAGCGATGTCCATCCGTCTGTCTGTTTGTCTGGCTGGTGCGCACGATAACTCTTAAAGGGAGTATCCGACTTGGTTCAAACTTGGTACATCGTAATATTTTTGTCAAACTTACATCGAGGTTGGAGATGGGTAATATCGGTCCACTCCTTCTGGTAACTCCCCACAAAAGGTCGAAATTTTCAAAAACACATTATTTTCTGCACAGAAAGAGAAACGATAATCTGATTTTGTTCCAAGTTTGCAAATCCAAATATTTGCGACAGTGCTACGTCAGGTGCGAAAATGAACCTCCCACAAAGGGTCAAATTTTTGAATAATTACAACTCTTATAAAGTGTGATGTAAGAGTCCGATTGTCTTCAAATTTCACACATCCCAATAAATTTTTACCCCAAGGTCTGGTTTAAAGATGGAATACATCGGTCCACTCTTTCTGGTACCTCCCCCACAAAAAGGTTGAAATTTTCAAAAAAGAAAAATATTGTCTGTACATAAAAATAAGCAATAATCCGAGTTTGCTCCAACTTTGCAAATCCTAATACTTGCGTCAGTGCTATGTCAAATGCGAAAATGGACAATATCGGTCCACTCCATCAAGTACCTCTCCCACAAAGGGTCAAAATTTTGAATAGTTACAACTCTTCAAATTTCACACATCCCAATATTTTTATAAAATCACGATCTGGTGCTAAGATGGAATATATCGGTCTACTCCTTGTACATTCCTTACAAAATTTTGAATATCTATGAAGCTTATAAAAAGCGAAATTAAAATTAGATTCCATTTAGACTTGGCACATCTGAATATTTCCATCAACACAAGATCTGTTATAAAGATGGTAGAGATTGGTCCAAAAAGGTTCAAAGTTTTGAATAACCAAAACGATCAAAGAAACAAAACGCTCAAAAAATGCGAAATAAGAAGATAAGATGAAGTATGAGAGTGGAATACTTCGGTCCCCTATATCTGTTGCCTTTCACATATTACCACATGTTCCAAAAGTTTGGACCTGGCACGTCGCAATATTTGTATCATATTTATTTAGGTCCGATACGTAATGGACAATATTGGCCCATTCCTTCGGAACCTACTCCATAGAGGGTAGCAATTAGAATAATCAGAACAGAAGTCAAAATATATTTAAACATTTTAACTTGTTATTAGAAACTTTTTTTACAAAAATGTATACAACGAAGCTCGACCGATACCAACGGTTTTAATAAAATAATGTGTATTTATTGCATGAGCCTGGGGTTCAACTCTAGCTCTATGAAAATGTGAAATAAAAACTTTTGAAATTGGAAACACTGCCAAATGAAGTATTTTAAAACTATTTTATATTTTTATAGAAGGAGATCGAAATTTCTTTTTCTTCCTCTTATAATGAAAAATATTGTAACAGTTAAAATTTGGAAAATGCTTAAATGCCATTTTCTGAAATATATAATTGAATAAATAATATATACACAATATTATTGATTAAATCAAACTTTTTTATATCTCCTGTGCTCGTCTCATTTAAAATGGTCATTGTAAAATTGTTTTTTACAAAATGCAACTCAGATAATATAGTATACAAATGTTATCAGCTACGTCAGTGACCCTGCTTTTACCCCCAGTAGAAGTTCCATGAGGAATATTATAGACATCATCAATATGTATCAATCAATCAAGTCAGTGATAACTATGTTGTATTCATTTTTGTAATGGCTTAGCAACTAATAAATATTATTAATACAAATTTACAGCAAATAATAAATAATGCAGTCTAAAATAAATTTTCTAAAATGTTAATATTTTATTGAAAGCTCAAATGTATGTAAGCCTTGATCATTGTTTCCAATCCCATATCCAATATAGCCCCCAACAGCCACAATGAAATAAATATAAATAAATATAAGTAATTAGAGGTTTAAAGTAGTAATAACTTGTATATTAAGGTCTGAGACCGCTTACCTTCCCTTATCCAGGGAAACAAAGATTCAGGGAAAAATCAAAAAACCCAAGGCCTTTATAAGGTCGGACAGGAAGACTTGTTTTGTAGTTTGACAATAAACTTGGACTTTGGACTATTGTGACTTGACTCCCATTAAATTTCAAATCATAATAAGTTTTTTTCGACAGCAAACGTAGTTTTCAGATGGGCTTACTGGCTGACCTGCTATAGACCATGACCCTGCCAAATAACGCCAAATCACATCCAGTTGTTAACTATTTTCACATTAAATTTTTGTAGATCAATAATAAATTTCAATTAAAAATAAAATTCCCACTAACATATGTTTGTTCTCATCCACTTTAAAAGCTTCTCCCCTCCCAAACAAGAAACCTTTTTCAAGGATGATGCTAATCACGATCCACAATGGTCAGACGAACAAATTATTTCTGCCAAATTTAAATTCAATGGTGTTGAAATTGGTAAAGTATACTTAAATTTTGAAATAAGGTTTTCAAGGATAATCTTCTACATTGCAATTAATTCATTTAGGCAAAGTTGAAGTTGACATCATCAAGAAAACCACCGTTTTAGTCTTTGAAATTTTGGAAAGAGCTTGGGCTACTAAGAACTGTGCTCTAATCGATATGAAAATTGAATTTGGCGTCGATGAGGAAGGTATGTATGAATTTATTTGTTTCGGGTATTGCATGTTGAAGATACAAAAGTCTTTTCTAAAATACTTTTGTGACAATAACTTTATTTTTAAATAATTTGGTCTAAATACAGCATACATTGTCCAAAAGATAACTTGAACTAAAAGTTACAATATTAATGAAATGAATATCTTCGCAAACTATCCATATTAAACTCCATAATTAAAAGATTTGGACAAATTCATAAATAGAACAGTGTTAACATTTATTTGTTGGAATACTGTACATAGTTTTTATATTTTATTTAATCTTCTATTGAACCTACGATCACTTGTGTAGAAAAAAGGTTTTGCCATAGGTGTTTTTTTCCAAAGGAACTGACTAGCATTTGTGGAACTATCTTCTTTTCTTTTGCTGCACCCTATGTAAAATATTGCAATTAATAAGGATATTAAATAATTAATTATTTTTCTGAAATATTGTCAATGGAGTAGTCTTTTTGTATCTCGTCTTATACTCCTAGTACAATTTTTTTTGTATTTCTTTGACTATTACAATTGGGTTTTGGTTAGCGATAGCGTCCCTTGGTGAATTTCAAATTTTATGCTTAATGTTAGTAGTATAGTCATTCATTCATAGTCAGTCAATTAATCGAGTTTCATAGCATTTAAAATAATCCTGACTTAACTTATGTCAACCCCTAATATGATTCTTCTTCAAAAAAACTAATTCGGGTTTTTCATTTTGAATCTCTGTATTGAATTGATGTAGGATAGTCGCTAAAGAATAAATAAATGAAAATGTTGTTGGAAAAATATCGAGATATACATCACGGCCGAGTCCCCCTAAAAATATCAAAAATGTCTTAAAAATCTTCGCTTAAATAGCAACGAACTTTAATGTGGGGAATTTTAAGAATATAATTTGACCCTTAAAATTCTAAAATCGTGGTAACAACGTTTTCCCGTTTTCGAAGATACCTGCTTTTGTTGAATAAATTATTTATCAAAACATTATTAGGGTATAACCATGGTACAATGAAGAGAAGGTAGGTCAACTTTGAAAAAATTGCAAGTATAGAGGTCTACCTGTTTGGCTTGTAATGTCAGAATTACTATCAAAACAATAAAAAAGCAAACAACTTGTTGCATTGATTTTGAATAAATAATTTAAAACCGCGAAAACTGAATGAATGGTCAAAATTTCTTTTCAATATCATGTTCTATATATCTCTTATGGTTTATTTCGCGACAATAACTGTACATTTTGTCGATGCATTTGTTGCAATAAGCATTTTGAAAACACCCGAATTTGAATATTTTCTGAACAATTTTTTATTATTGAAAAGAAGACACACACATAAGCAAATGAAGTTGACATATTAAGCCAGAAAAACAAAAAAATTTAAATCATATGGTAGTTCTGCCCTACCTTGAATTCATTGTACCATGGGTATAACACTGTGGTCAGGGTATTATGTATTTGTGCATTTCTTTTTAAAATGGAGAAGGAAATATGAAATACGATTACTTTTGAGGATCCTTATAGAATCACGGTCTGAGTCAATTTATGAGCCCTTGTATTTTTGTAAACAAAGTATAGGTCGCATTTATTGCCCGAACGAAATGAAATCTTGCACAAATCGTATGTTTGGTCCAGGGATAAACCCTATTGAAATTGGTGATAATCAGTCTAAATTTAGATATAGCTCCCATATACAACTTCGTCCAATTGTGTTTGGAAGTGTGCCCATATATAAGTTTCATCCGATTTGAAGACACCCACATTCGTAAAATGCACTTCACAACATTGATGTTTGGTACCGGATACCAGATAAAGATCATAAAATTATCTGCTAAATTTAACGAGATCGATCCAGATTTGTATATAGCTTCCATATTTGTCTTCGTCCGATTTTAAGTAGATTATCCACCAAATGTGTAACATCAGCCCAAATTGAGTGGATGCTGGCACATGCGACCACTGTCTATCGCGATCGGGTAGATCTAATAAATATGCACATTAGTCGAAATCGGATGGATTTTGGCACATCTAACTGAATTCAGCTTGGAATCAAGAGTGTCAAATTTGGCAAAATTCGGTTAAGGTATAACTTTAGCTCCCATATATAAATTTCATCCGATTTGAAGACACCTACATTCGTAAAATGCACTCCACAACATAGATGTTTGGTACCAGATACCAGATAAAGATCATAAAATTCTCTGCTAAATATAAATATTGCTTCCATATTTGTCTTCGTCCGATTTCAATTTGATTCTGTACCAAATGTGTGATATCAGCCCAAATTGAGTGGATGTTGGCACATGCGACCTCTATCAAATTATATCGCGATCGGGTAGATCTGATAAATATGCATAATTGTGTAGGGTTTTATATCGATGTCCCTGTATGACTTTTACCTTTCTTTACTGGGTTTTTGATCTGAGTCTGTCAGTAAAATCGGTTTTGGGAAAAATTACAATAATTGATCTGCAAAAAAACCATGTAAATATTATTAGATTATTAAAAGTTAAAAAAGACCATACTTACTATAAACACCTGAAAAAGAAAATCTGTCCCACTTCTTCAACCTACCGAACACAAAAATCTTGAACTTATTATATATCAGTACAATTTTTTTATTTACATATTAAATTTGCAATACAAAAATGACATATTTTTGGTTTTCGAATGGTAGAATTGACATCCTCCATCCTACACCGAATAGACAATGGCCAGAATAATGAAAATAAAACAGTACACCAGGAAGAAGATGCGATCAACGGCTGTCGCCAATAGAATCCAATCGAATTGCAATGATCTCGGTGTCTGATTCGATGCATTGAACATTGTATTTTCGTTTGTTGTCTCAATTGGTTCGTCATAGACGTGTTCGCCCATCTCCTTGGTGCCATTATTCAGCAAGGTTTGCGGTTCGGCTTCTAAGGAAAACTCGCTTAGCAATAAAACACGACCCAAGCCGCCATTTAGAAGGTTTCTCAAAAATGCCGGTACACGTTGCTTATGTTTGGCTGTGGACAAATAGAGGACGGTTACCGAAACGATTGTCGATATGCTCAAAAGCAACAAACTGGCGCTGTAGAAGAGTACCACTAGTGGGGTATTTTCCGCCAATATGGGCAGCATTTGAGCAAAGTACATCAGGAATGCGGCAATAATTACAATCAGAACGGCATTGAGTAAAATTTTCTCTCCCATTTGGGGCGGCAGCCAGAATATGGATAGACACATTAGTATAATGCAGGATGCTGGCGTGAAAATAACCGTTGTGTACATCGAAGAGTAGCGTTGAAGTTGGAATGTGTACTCTATATAGTTGTAGAATTCCTCACTGTTGTATGTGGCCTTGGCGTCGATGATGTCCCATTCGGTGGATTTAATCAAATCCTTGTAATCGATGCTTTCCTTGAAGTCAAGGAATTTCGGATCGATTGTAGTCAAAGTCCATGTACCCACTTTGAGTTTGCACGTTTGCTGGTCGTACGGCCACATTTTAAGATTCAGATTACAGTAGGCTGTATAAACCACCGGGGGCACCCACATGAAGCTACCATCGTAGGAGAGCATAGTCTGTGTATCACCAACATAATCGCCCTCGCTGCCGGCGCTGTTGAACAGAGTAATGTCCGGCTTCCATACCTCCTTGGAACGTATATGCAAGGTGGTTATGTTGTCGAAATATTCCGGCTTCCATGTCCTTCCTCCATCGCGCCAGCGCATGTTGACCCAGCCATGCAGCGTCATTCTGCCCTTCAATTCATCGATATCGATGTAGTTGACGGCTATGCCCAATGTTATGTTCGTCCGCTGCGTGGGTGTAACCATGGGGTGCGAGCTCTTATCATAGTTCGTAAACAGTTGTACACGCAGACGGTCCATTGTGCTGATATTCCATGAGGCATTTCCGTCCTCAGTGCAGGCAGCCAGCTGAATTGCTGCCACCACGAACAGAGCGACTGTGATGGTGGCGCGGTGACGGCAGGAAGTAAACATCTTTCGTTGAGGGATTTCGTTGTTCTTATCACAATAACAAATTAATTTCTTTTTATGTTTTTTTTCTTTCTCCAAGAAAACGTGGCGACAAAAATTAAATCCACAATTGTTTGCGGCAAGTTTTTAAACGCCGCACAATATCCACGAAAAATACGGTGCTGAGTGTAGGAGATTCAAACTAAAACTGCGAGTCCACTTTCAGAAAGTGAATTATGAAACTGGTGGCGTTGAGACCCGACTGCCGTAGATTATTGTCGTATGTACATCTGGGCATATGCACATATCGAATTAAATTCTTTGTCCAGATTTGAGCGCATTTGTATGAGTTGTGTTTATTAAATTTATCTTTCGTTTTTTTTTTGTTATTGTTCTTTCTTTTAAGAATTTAGAAATTGAGGTTTTGTATTTGTGTATGGTGGCGAAGTAATTCTCTGGGGATTATGCTTGGGCCCGAGCCACTGATTTCCTCATCGAATGTGTGAAGGTGGTTAGAGCAATCGGTGTGACTTGGACAAAAAACTAAATGGCAAAAATATTCCAATTTCACGATTTGATGAGCCTAAAAATATAAAATTCGTAGTTGTTTATTTAATTCCAAATAGGGGTAGAGGGTATTTCTTGTAAACATTTCTTAGAATTAAACTAATTAAAAAGTATCAGTCGGTTTGGCCGACAGATGTATACTCTCAGCCAATTTTCGATTACTTAAGTATATTTTGACTTGTTTTATGATTTTCAAATTGTTGACCATCTGTGGAGTAGGTTCCGATGCGATATAAATGTTGCGACGTGCAAGGTTTGGATTATATTGGTTATTTTCTTCACTTTATATGAGATATGTGATAATTTTTAGAAAATGTTAAAATGTGCGTGAGGTACCAGATATGGGCGACCGAAGTATTCTGTTTTCATATTTTCATCTAATACAGATAAAAATATTGACTTGCGCAAAATTACAAGGAAATCGAACATTTATATCCAATATAATGCGAAATCATAAATTTTACATTCATCTCAGGTTCCTGGTTGAGAGAAATATTTTGATATGGTAAGTTGTAAAGAAGAATCGCTGACTAGTTTTGCGAGTTATGACAGAAAAAGTATTGGAAACTGTGACCCTTTGTGGGTGAGTTACCAGAGGGGGTTCGCAGATATGTATATCCTCTTCACAACAGATCTTGTTTTAAAAAAGATCTTGTTTTAAAAAAGAGATTATATTTGTGAAATTTGAAGAGAGTTGGATGCTTATTTCGTTTTCTTTAAGCGTTTTGTTTTTTAAAACCTTGAACTCAGGACAAATGATCCGATCTCTACCATCTTTATAACAGATCTTGTGTTGATAGGAAAATTGAGAATATTCAGACCAAGCCTGAATGGTATCGGATGTTAATTTAGCGTTTAAAGAACTTCAAGGATATTCAAAATATTTACCCTTTGTGGGGGAGGTACCAGAAGACAATCGGACTCGGATATTTCACATGTTATAACAGTTAAAATTATTAAAATTTTTACTCGGTTAAAATTTTTAAAATTATTAAAAATGTTGACCCTTTGTAGTTGAGGTACCAGAAGGAGTGAACCGATATATCCCATCTTTACACCAGACCTAGCACTAAATATTAGGATTTGCAAAATTGAAGCAAAATTGGATTATCCTTTCTCTTTCTGTGCAGTAAAATATTTTTTTTGCTTTGAAAATTTCGACCTTTTGTGGGGGATGTACCGGAAGGACCGGCTCGATATTGCACATTTCCGAACTTGATCTAAGTTTGATAATAATGTTATGATGTACCAAGTTTGGATGAAATCGTTTTGGCCGTATTAAATGATATATACCCTCTGTAGCCACGTGATTGAGGGTATAAAAATTGGTGTTAAGGTTATTTTAAATTATCGATTGAAATGCGCATTGCCGAATTTCCGATATCCGTCTGTTGTAAACACGCTTTCTTTCAAACAAATTGAGATAGAAGGCTGAAATTTTGCATAAATTCATAGTTTAGGTAAAGTTCCTAGATGGGCCATGTCGGTCCATGTTTTCGTATAGCCCCAATATAACGGTACCTCCCAACATTCGTTTTTTTATGATTTTAACGACAGTATTTACCGGAATTAATTCAAATTTCATATTTAAAGTTTGTAATGGGTACTACAGCCTACGACAAAAAATGTTTGTATGCAGGTCCACGTCTTCGTATAGCCCCCATATAACGGTATTTAGATTCTGTATTTAGAAGATTTCAGTTGTTTTTTGTCATTTTTTTAATTTTTCAAGTTCCTTCCAAATGGTGGAGGGTATTTAAAGCTCGGCCCGGCCGAACTTAGCTGCTTTTTACTTGTTAGTACTCAAAATGTGCGATTAGTTCAGTCTGACGTAACCTCTTAGTACGAATGTTCAAAAACCCAGCCTTATCCAACACCTACGCTCCAAGATTAAGGTTAAGATTCTAGCTGCAGCCGTGCTGCATTGATTCTCAGTCAGTCAGTTATGTTGCTGTTGTTTTGTCGATATTTTTGTACGCAAGCGCTCATTCAGTTTAGACCTTAATATAAGTTTTCACATGGTAGAGGATATAATACTTCGGCCCGTCGTTTTTTACTTGACTTTTATAATTTAACCCTTTTTCGCATAATGGTGGAGATTTTCATCATACAAAATTTTGTCCAAAATTTATATGAAAAGACAATTTTACCTTATGTTTATCGTATCTGAAAGTCTTAATAATATGTATATGTTTCAATAAATTTATGATTTCGTCTTTTTTATTAGACTTCCTTTTTCTCAATCCTATTTTAAAACCTCGATGCTCATTTCTCAACACTAATTCTCCATTCGTTTCTTTCTCATTGTAGGTCAAATTATACTGGCTGACATTATCGACTCGGATTCTTGGCGTTTGTGGCCTTCCGGCGATAAACGTCTTATGGTCGACAAAGATGTCTATCGTAAATGTGCCACTGTCACAGATGAATCCCTGGACACAGTAATACGCAACTACACCTGGACAAATGATCAACTGAAACAGATTATGCCAAAATCCGATCATTTGGTTGTCATTTTAATGGGCAGTGCCTCAGACAGTGAGCACTGTGAAAAAATCGCCAAACATTGCAAATCATTTGGCCTGAACACCGAATTGCGCGTCACCTCAGCCCACAAAGGAACCGAAGAAACATTGCGCATCTTACGTGAATATGAAGGTCGTCTGAGCAATCTGATATTCATTGCTGTAGCAGGACGTTCAAATGGTTTGGGTCCAGTTTTGTCGGCCAACACTCCATACCCCGTCATCAATTGTCCACCCCTTAAGGCCGAAGATAAATCGTTGGATGTGTGGTCCAGTTTAAATGTACCCTCAGGATTGGGTTGTCCCACAGTTGTGTATCCCGAAACTGCTGCCCTGCATGCTGCTCAAATTTTGGGTCTTCACAACTTTATGATTTGGGCCAAATTGCGCACAAAACAACTGTTGAACTACACTTCGTTGAAGGTGGCCGACAAGAAAATGCGCGGTGTCCGTAATGCCGATGAAAGCAAGTGATCGGATCGTATATTGCCATGTTATTCACATATTGATGAATTCGTTGATTCTGATTTTCAAACAAATATGTATATTCCTGTGTTTTGTTAAAAAAGACAATATTTCAATATAATTAAATTGTTTTTACATAAAATCTCAAATAAATTTATGGGTATTTTATTGAAATGCTTCAGAATCGATAATGTCTTCAGATTTCGCTCCGCTTAATGATTCAATTATTATTCAATATAATATAATTCAATTGTTTTGGAATGGATTGAAAATGGATGAAACAACTGACGGATTGGCAAGAAACATTTCACCATCTCCAGACCTATCAGCCCAATGTTTAAAAATTCAAACTTTGCCAACTTGTTAGAGTCATGCTCTTTTAAAGAAGAACAAAGCTATTCTACAAGTTATTCTATGTGCCAAATCATTCTTAATTATTCTGAACTAAAGCCATAATATCCGTCCGATAATAAATTTTTCTTTGAGTTGAAATTAAATGGTTGAATGCCATACAGACCATGAAATCCCCTCTCTTCATTTCTTCTATTTGGATTTCATTGTGTTGATTCCCTTAATATTTACAGACTTTCCAGGCTGTGGTATATTCTCTTTTTGTGCTCGCCATCATAGTATGGAGGGTACATTAAATTTGTCATTCTTGATCAGTAAAATATTCTATGTTGATTAAACCATGTCCGTCTGTGGACTAGCTTTAATAGAGCCCCATATAACTGTACCACCAGATTTAAGGTGCTTTGGTTGTTTTAGACATATTGTTATAACATTTTAGACATTTGTCATAAATATACTAATAACGATAACGGATAAACTCCAAAGCAGCTCGAAAACCTTGAGTTCTTTAACAATAAACCAAAAATACTGTAGAGAATATGATAAACTATCAAAATTACCCAGTAAACTAAGCATATCAAGTCATATTTTTCATTTTGTTTTTAAATTGCACAAACATTTTAATTCAAATTTTTCTAACCAACATTTCCTGGATAATTATGAAAAAGAGGAATATTGGAGTCACTTCCCTAATGGAACACACAAAACCCCATCAAGAATTATTGATTCCAGCAAGAGCAATAAATTGAAAATAATAATATAATCAAGGTAATCCCTTGCAGATAGCAGATTCAATGCCATTCCAATGTGAAGTTCCTTTATGTGGATTTTCTACTGTTAGAGATTATGTAAGACGTGGGCATGACTTTCGGGATGAATGTCTTGGCAGAATTTCCAAAGAAATGTTTTGGCAGTGGGTTTGGGCATATCGATGCAAATGTACGTTATAAGACAGGTAATTAAAGTATATGGCTCGATAGTCTGTAATAATTTGTAAAATATTACAAAATCTTGTTCAATAGCCCAAAACTTAACTAGAGTTTTATGCGTGTTGAGGCCAATCCTAATACAATTTGAAATGTATACAGCAAATTGTAAATTGTATCTGCTAATCTCTCTTCCTATAATCACGTAAAAAATGTTTTATTACGCGATTTTCTATTCTAGTTATCTACTGATATCGCCTTAATTTAAAAAAAGGTTAATTTTAAAGATAGATTTTTTTAAATTACACAATGAGAATACTAGTAAGTTCAAATCGGTTCGGTCCCTGTAATCCCTTATTCGGAAGTGAATTATTTTTGAGATCAGTCAATCATCCAACATGAAACCCAAAATAAAAAAGTCAGTTGATTTGGCAGGAAAATGATTACAAATCAGGATATGGGGTCTATATTGAATAATATTGAGGAGGACTAAATTTACCTAAAGATAGCGCGAAATATCAAATTCCAGCTAATTTGACAGGAAAGTGTGACATAAGCATACCGAAATATGGAGAGCATATCTAAACGGGTAAAGAGTCGCTACTAGCGACACATTCCACAGTATCAATAATCCTGGGAACAATAGGTTTATTATTATTCTTTTATGTTTATTTCTTTTAAATTATTTTTCACATAATAAGCAATCAGCAACCGTTAAAATATCTATTTTTTACTGTAAAAAATGTAAATGTTGTTATTCAAAATATTATCCTTTTGTGGCGGAGATACCAGAAGTAATGGTCAGATCTCTACGATATTTTTGACAGATCTTGTGTTGATAGAAGTATTGAGATGTCTCTGAAGTCTGAATGGAAAGGATTTTAATTTCGTGTTTTATGATCTTCATGATTTTTTAAAAATTTGACCCTTTGTGGGGGAGGTACCAGAAGGAGTGGACCGATACATCCCATCTTCACACCAGACTTTGGGTTAATAAAAATATTGTATATTGTGTAACAATCGGACTCTTACACCACATTTTATAAGAGTTATAATTATTCAAAATTTAGACCCTTTGTGGGGGAAGTACTTGATGGAGTAGACCGATATTGTTTATTTTCGCTCCTAACTAGCACTGTGCAAATATTAAGATTTGCAAAGTTGGAGCACAATCAGATTATCCTTTCTCTTTCTGTGAAGTAAATTATTTTCAGAACAGTGTTGGCATGTTTGGGATACCGTAGTATTTTGTTGTTGCAAAAATCGTCAGGCCTAATCCCATTATTGTTGTTTTTATAAAACAACATTTGTTTATTAGTGGAGAAAAAACAAGGGAACTGATGTGGATTGGTGGCTGTTTCCGAAACCTAGGTATTCCCTGCCTGGTAAACATTACCATCGTTCACCACTAATGAACAAATGTTGTTTTATAAAAATAACAATAATGGGATTAAGCCTGACGATTTTTGCAACAACAAAATACTTTGCAACAACAAAAAGTAAATTATTTTCTTTGAAAATGTCCACATTCCACATCTTCGAACTCGATGTAAGTTTGATAAAAAAATATTACGTTGTACCAAATTTGAATCAAATTGGACATTTCCTTCGCACCAGCTAGTCAGACAGACGGACGGATGGACGGACATCGCTAGATCGACTATAAATATCCTGAAACGGATTTGCTCCAAAGAGACCGAAGGTCTAAAACGGTTATTTCGATGAGGCACGTTTTGGCCGTATCAAAGATTTATATATCCTCTAGCCAAATGGCTGAGGGTATAAAAATGCACAAATATACCGTTTACAAAAAATATCCATTACTCCAGCATCTTCGATTGATATCGGCAATGGGCAGTGGTGTTCCACGGATGCACAATTTTATACCCTCCACCATACTATGGAGGGTATATTAACTTTGTCATTCCGTTTGTAACTCCTCGAAATACCCAACAAAGTACATATTTTCTTGATCAGCGTAATATTCTAAGTCGATTTAGCGATGTCCGTCTGTTGTAATCACACTATCTTTCGAACGAATTGAGATAGAAGGCTAAAATTTTGCACACATGTTTATTTTTCGAGTAGGCAGGCTAAGTTCGTAAATGGGCCATGTAGGTCCACGATATCGCCCCCATACAACGGTACCCCCGATATTCGGTATTTTGATGATTTTAGACACATTTTTGAATGGAATTGCCTGAAAATCCACACAAGTAGTTCTTTCTGAGTACTTTACCCTCTGGAAGAGAATTGTTAATATAAGTCCACGCTATCGTATGCCCCCATACAACGGTACCCCCGATATTCCATATTTTAATGATTTTAGACACATTTTCCAATGGAATTGTCTAAAAATCCACACAAAGAGTTCCTTTTGAGTACTTCATTTCCTGGAAGAATACTGTCTATATAGGTCCACGATATCGTTTATCCCCAATATAACGGTACCTCCCTATATTCGGTATTTTGATGATTTTAGATAATTTTTTCAATGGAATTGTCTAAAAATCCATATTAGAAGTTCTTTCCAAGCACTTTATTCCCTGGAAGAGGAATATCGGTATTTTGAAAATTTTTGCTACATTATTCACCGATTTTTTTTTTTTTTTTTTTTGAAGTTTCGTATTTCAATATTGTAATGGCTTTTGACAAAACTTGCCTACGCAGGTCCACGCCTTCGTATAGACCCCAATATAGAAGCTACATTCGTTATGTTTAAGATTTTAACAGAATTTTTGGTGAATATTATTTTTTGAAAATTTCCAATGGTGGAGGGAATTCAAAGTTCGGCCCGGCCGAACTTACTGCTTTTTTACTTGTTTTTTTTTTTTTTTTCAAAATTTCAATTTTGATTCCATTTTCTCAACAATTAAAAATGTATAACGTATTCATTGTTCGAAAAAGCTGTTTTCGCGCAAGATTTTCCTGAATGTCGTTCTATAGCTTTTTGCAATATATGAACGGGACACAAAAAATTCTCTCAATGCAAGTTACTGAGAGACTTTTACGGGAAAAGTTCTCGTATACACTTAATATGCCTTACAGTTGCAAGCCAGCATCGTCGATTTCGTACACATACCAAATTAAGCATAGCGTCATGTATTGTCAACATTGAACCTGTCCCTAGCACTTTAGAGTCCACTGCACTTTATTTCATTAAGAGAGGAACCGTTATTATATGATTGTATGGGTTATGATGATAAAAAAACGACCAATATTTGTTTTCTGTGACAGCGTCATTGGTATGGCATGGTTCTGTTGCCGGCCGCAGTACCTTTAGTCAAGCTGCTGTGGTTTTCAAAATCATCCCCACCATCGGCATCGACAATATATGTAATAGCTATCAACGGCCAAGATTCCCGATCGCACAGTGTGGGGATTTGTAACTCTAATGTAAACGGAACGAACTTTTAAATTTGGGAAGAGCTAAAACATAGGTCCAATATTTGGTATAATCCGCATATAACGGCATTTCATGAAGTATTTTTAGCGATTATGTTTGGAGGGGCTATTTATCTATATAACGATTTTCTCTTCCAAATACATTAAATATTATACATATCTAAAAACCAGTGAAGAAAGTCTTAAAGTCGGGCGGTGCCGATTTTATGATGCCCTACACCACTTTGCTAATTTAGTAGAGCTCCGCATAACAGTTAAAAGTTTTTATGGGAGAATTCAATCATACACGCTATGATTATAATTATAATTTAAAGCTCAAAGGACTAAATATGCCGAAGCATTTGTATCTTTTAAATTCGGACTTGTATTGCCCATATGGTGCACAATTCATTTGAAATCGGATAAAAATATATATATATATGGGAGCTATATCCAAATCGGAACCGATCTCGATAAAATTTAGCAAATGTA